ATTGGTTAGTATTAAATATTAAGTTTTACAGTCGGAAACCTCAAGGGGCGGGAAATTTGATTAAACAAAACGCCGGATTAATATGTGGACAACTTGCAAATGAAATGTAAGTAACATGACAGAACGAGTATGTACGCCCAATAAATACTTTTATAGTTTTAATGTGCATTCAAAGGACCCCGTTTGTAAAATTGATAGAAATGGATAGTTTTATAATCGGAAAAAACTGAGAAATATCTACCCGATTATCCAGAATAGCAGAATAGTCATCATCATATCAGTACGACAAATTAGCTATATTTATTTTCTATGCGATATACACCTGATATTGATAGCCTTCCACGATCATGGTCCGTTGACATCATCAACCTTGTGATTTGCCATAAGTGATTAACCAACATTTTTTAATTAAAAGTCGGGGTTGACGTTTCTTGACTTTTCACACTGACATCAAAACAAAACATAATTTGAAAATAAAAGGCATTTAATGGCCATTAAAAGTACATTTTTGAACAAAAGTATCAACTTATATTACACTGCACGCAAATACAAAGTGAAAAGAACGTCTTCCCGGAGATTGAAATACGGATCGGTAAGTCAACAAATCTGTCAAAAAACTGTTAAATAAACAAGCTTAGCCTATGTCTGCGATTGTTTGTCTGAGTGGCCAGATGTTATCTGTTTCGGATAATAAATTTCTGAGAATACTACTGATATCTAGAATACATCTTCCGTGATATTTTTCATAAAACTACCCTTTGCATTCGTTTGACTTCACTTCTTAAAAGAGAGCTTCGTCTTAGTGTATTTGTACTTTAACTAGACTCTGCACGCAGGGTATCATAAAACAGGCATCTTAGCTGCAATTTTGAATAATAGCGTAATTCATAGCACAATATAAATTAACCCGCCTCTGTTTAATTCAAATATGCATTACCCTTAAGATTTATATACTTAGACACCTTTTCATTCTTGATTCAAATTTTTATCTTGTCTTCATCTAAATTTGTGGATTAATAACAGTTTTTAGTATACAAATTGAACATACAAAATGTACCATATTGATTACACGTTACAGTGGCGTAGCCAGCTTTCAGTCGGGGGAGGGGGGGAGGTGCGATCGTGGCATAAACAATGTTTTTGAAGATTTGTTTTGAATTTTACAAAAATTGGTGCAACTTCGAGCTAGAAGCTTCAAATAAAAAGCACACATCGCATCCCCCTGGCTACGCCTATGCGCTATATTAATATAACAAGGTTATCATATCATGCCAATAGTTAGATGGTTAACTAATATAACACAAAATAATAATACACGATAATTAAAAAAATAAACCTCGGTATTCGGGCCTAAAATCCAAGGATACGTGTACCATTACTTAAGTGTAAGCTGCAATACCATATCGAATACCTGTACCATTACTCAATAATAACCACTAGTAAGACCATAATAACAAGCTTAATAACTAGCTTATTGCAAGTTATTTCATACGATTTTGTCTTGTGTTAGTTTTATTAATATTGAGTGAAAGTTTATTGTTCTTGAACCAGTAAGATATATTAATCATTTCATTATTTGCAATTTTAAATAAATTTTCTAAGTTTTCATCTCCGATGCATATATTGGTATCATCACCAAAAATAACTAGTTTGAAGATATCTGATACTTTAAAAAGATCGTTTATGTATAGTGTAAATAATACCGGTCCCAAGACAGAGCCTTGAGGGACTCCAAAAGTTAAGGTTTCATTCTTGTCTAAATATGTACAATCAATAAAAGTTTTTAAGGGACGATATTTCAAGTAACTTCTGAACAAATCGTTGGCAACACCGCGAAAACCTAGCATTTCTAGTTTATTAAGTAAAATAGTATTATCAATTGTATCAAATGCCTTAGAAAGGTCTAAATATAAGCCAAGAACATAAGTGCGATAAAAAAGTATTTGCTACAATTAATATATCTTTTGTTAGTCTATTATTTATAAGCATGTTAAATTCATTTGTATAAGAGGTTTTGTTTCTTTTTAAAATATTGTTTATAATTGACCAGGTTTCCCTGAGATTTCCTTTAACTTCATGAAACTAAAGTGGGGTTACACAAGGTTGCCATCTTAAGACAACCTTTCCCGGTTACTGCTATTTATATGTCTGTACTTTATATCACATACGTGCATATTTCGTGTATGGTATCAAATGTTTTTAAAACATCGATATATTGGTAGAATCAGGGGCAAAGGGCTTTAAAGTGGAGTTACACAAGGTGGTATTCTGAAGACAACGTTTACTATATTTCTTTACTTTATACCACATACGTGCATATTTCGTGTATGGTATCAAATGTTTTTTAAATATCGATATTTATCAATAGAAACAGGGGCAAAAGGCACTAAAGTGGGGTTACACAAGTCACCTTGTGATTGTAACATCGCTTGCCCATTTCTGTCAAATAAGATGAAACACGAAATATGCCTTTATGTCAAATTATGTGGTATATTTAAAATACAGAACACTGTAAATGTTAGGGCCCCAACAATTTGTAGGGCCTCAAAATGGACCTTTGTGCATAATTTGGCATTTTAGGCAAAAAATGGGCCTGATTTTTTTTAATTTAGGCCAAAATTGCTTCCTGGTCATCTCAACCCCAAGTCATCTCAACCCAGTCCAACTCAACCCCAAGTCAAGTTGACCCCTGTAAAACTCAACCCCAGTAAATCTCAACCCCTATATTTCTATATATTGATGAACTTATAAAAAAGTTTATTTCATTAAAATAATTCTGTCGAAAACCTAGCATTTCTAGTTTATTAAGTAAAATAGTATTAGCAATTGTATCAAATGCCTTAGAAAGGTCTAAATATAAGCCAAGAACATAAGTGCGATGAAAAATTATTTGCTACAATTAATCTATCTTTTGTAAGTATATTATTTATAAGCATGTTTTAAAAATTCATTTGTATAAGAGGTTTTGTTTCTTTTTAAAATATTGTTTATAATTGACCAGGTTTCCCTGAGATTTCCTTTAACTTCATGAAACTTAGAATTATAATGTCTTTTTTCGGAAAAACGAATAATATGTTGTAACTTGGTTTTAACTTTTTTGTAAGCTTGTTGATTTTCTGGAGAAGGATATTTGATATTTTTTCGATATAATTTGTGTTTGGTTTTACATGAAGTTATTATACCATGTGTTAACCATGGCTTATTTGAGTTGATGAACATTTTGACTGTTTTTGTTCTTAAAGGGAAATGTTTATTGTATAAATTTGTCATTATATTTTCAAATTCTATATATGCTAAGTTAACACCTTGTTCTACAAGTACCTCATTCCAATTTATAGTAGCCAGATCAAAGTTAAAATTTATTATAGCTTTATCATTAATGTGTCTAAATGTAATTGTTTTTCTTCGACTTTACAAGTCGTATGCCGTGTTATAGTAAAAATAGCTAAATGATCTGAAATTGGAAAAGTTAAAAAAACAGATGAGTCAATTTAATTTGAATTTGTAAATATATTATCTATTAATGTAGCTGCTCTG